TCTCTCTCTCTCTCTCTCTCTCTCTCTCTCTCTCTCTCTCTCTGTGTGTGTGTGTGTGTGTGTGTTTGTTTGTTTGTTTGTTTGTTTGTGTGTGAGTTGGTAACCTAACACACTATCGCTGAGCTATAATCGCACGCTGTTTGAACAGTTTTGTTGGTAATATCACAAATTCCCCATCGCTCGCGGGAAGTTGCTGAATCGCGAGTCCGCAATCGATCTGTCGGTTGCGCCATCTTGGGTCGACTCGAACGATTACTCGGCCCCCCTTATACTATCTCTCTTGCTTCCGTATCTCGTGCCGTTGAGAACTCACGTCTTCATGCGCCCCTATACAAGGCTGTTATTCTAAACGAAATAAAGTGATAATACTCTGGCCACTTAGTGTTGTTGTGCCTGTGGACCTATCCTCGATACTGCGCTATGTCATACAGGTTATGGGCCCAGTGGTCACGACAAAAAGTTAACAAGTGCATATTGCCCGCCACACGTGCAACGACCAAATCCACAAAAACAATGGCGCACACCAACACCATTAATTCCACGCGGCTGGAGACACTGACAAAGGACACTACGACACGTGGGCGATACAGGCAGAGGCGTTACTCGTAAAAAACGACAACTGGGGCTACGTGGGCGGCGAGGTGCCATGACCTCAAGGCGACGGCGACGATCCGGCGACTCGAGCAGCCATCTTAGCCTGGGAAAACAAAGATCGCAAAGCCAAATCCGATCTAGTTCTCGCCATTAATCCCACTGAGTTAAAGCAGGTACGTGGCTGCATAACCTCCAAGGACGTATGGGATAAATTAAAGTCCATTTACGACTCGAGCGGTCCCGCGCGCAAAGCGACGCTTCTCAAATGGCTCATCCAAGCGAAGAAAATGCCGGAAAGCGGGGACGCCAAGACACACGTCGCTCAATTTTTCGACGCCGTCGACAAACTAGAGTCTATGGACGTCAAAATAAACGGAGACCTCCTCTCCATTATACTCTTATATAGCCTACCGAGCGTTTTCGAAAACTTCAGGTGCGCGATCGAGTCTCGCGATGCACTACCGAATGCCGAACAACTAAAGGTTAAAATCCTAGAGGAATATGAGGCGCGAAGTCAAGCAACAGCGGAAGGGTCGGGAGCAATGCTCGCTCGTCGCGGAAAATACGACTCGAACGCGAAATCTTGGAAAAACCCGCCGAATCCACGCAAGGATACCGCCACGACCGCGCCGCCTCGTTTCAAATTCAAATGCTCTTTCTGCAAAATCCCAGGCCACAAGTATGCCGATTACCGTAAGAGGAAGAAGCAAGAGGACGAGAAGGCCAACAGCTCGGAGGTCGAGAATTTCTTCGCCGAAACCGCCCATTATTCATTGAGAACATTTCCCGGACATCCGGGGTAACGAGCGACATAAAACTGGCCAGTCACGCCACCAGTCCGGTAAATGCCAAAGGAAG